GACTTTCAGACAAGACATAACAAAATATAAAATTTATTGGCTAACGTTTCGTTGTATTGTTCACAACATCTTCAGAGCAATTAAACTTATTTACAAGCGTGCATTATATATATACAAATCAGTTTTTAAACGGTTACATTATTCAAATAAGCGAATAAGAGGAAGGGATGAAAAACAACCTATCATTAAAAATATTAGTAAATTAAAGATATAATGGTTAGTAATTATTAGTAATTAGAGACCTATAGCAAAGCATTAGAATAGGTCAAGAGGAGTTGACCTAATGTTGGCATTTAAAATAGGATTAAGTTTAGATATGAAAAGGCTCAGAAGTAGCAGTGGAAAGGATATTAAAATCAGAGGGTGAAATTTGATGTTCAGTGGTATGGATATGAGCGAGTATGCCTGACATGGTTGAAACAGAACGTTTCTTTTCTTTTCTTTTGTTGTGAACAATACAACGAAACGTTAGCCAATAAATTTTATATTTTTGTTATGTCTTGTCTGAAAGTCATTTGCTGGGCTTTAATTTTCAATTTTCCTTAGATGTTGTTTTATATAAAGTACTTTTTGTTTATCAACACGTAATAATTGGCCAAAAGTACGCATCTAAATTGTGAATTTTCCATTTTATAAAAAAAACTGTATTGAGCCACCTTAATATTAAGCTAGGGTTACACATGCGATATTTTTCTCACGCGGGTAGGGCAACGGGAAATCTCGTATGCCCGTTCGCAGGTTAATAGGTGCTGGCTGCAAACGGGCACACTCTGCAGGGTACGAGATTGAACAACTGGTCAAATTTAATCACACAAATCGAGGCAAAATTAATGATTTCTTGACAAGATTTAGCGCTCTTAATTTTATACATAGCCTAAGTTTAATTAAAAGTTTGATTAATGAGAAATGTGGTGCGATTAATAGAAACAAAAATATCATGTTGTCAATTAAAAAGATACTGATATGCGTTTAAAGGTGTATGAATTTGTAACGTTTTAGCAATTAACTGATTTTGCCATGTATTGACAGTAATGTGTAAACTCGCAGATATACTGCCGCTCCAAATATATTTTTCTCTTGCCGGAATATATCAAAACTTAGCCTGATGACGTCAGAGTCATGTGTGAGGGTTATCAAATAATCAAAAGCCAGTGATCTCCATATATATCAGGAGTGATAGGGGGCTTATTCACAAACTAGACCAAGAGCAGCCTAGGCCTTGGTCAATTTTGGGCCAGCATTTGTTAGGTATGGCATCACAAGCGAAATAAAATCTGGGTCTCAGTCTCCCATGTGAAAAAGCGCTTCCGTTCTGAGGCAGACCGTATGTTTTAGAGCAGTGCAATCTAATTGGCTTAGCACACATTAATTGCAGTATAAACGAACTCACTTGCCGCAACGAGACAAGGCCTTGCCTGTGTCTGCTACCTTGGTAATGGTGAATGAACCCATGTTGGTGATATACTTCTCGAAATAAATGTAATTAATTTTTATCAATGAAACTAAGTTTCAAATACACATATTTTAGCAACAGTTGAAACAATAATTAACGTAACACGCGTTTTAGCTGCAGGCATTGAGATTTTCCTGCAGTTTTTTCCGTTCACTACTAGCAATTCACAGATGTTTTCATTCCACTAAACTAATACTCAGATGAGGTGACCAGCACGCAAAGAAAGGTGAAACACGACGTGCAGTGAACTGATAGTTGTTAGTACTAGAGCTCGAATTAACGTTGACGTTCAATGTTCTTTTTTCCATGTCCAGAGTTACGGAAATATTATCACTGCGACCAAATTGGACAGTATGCTTATGAACGCACTTCTTCTCGCTTTGAGCAATATCTGCATTAATTTCATCATAGTCAATGATTCCAACTTCAGCACTGGAATGATTATGGTAAATGGGATGATTCAATTGAACTTTCCACGTGTGAACTCCGGAATCAAAGTAACATCCACCTACTCTGCAACGGTATTCACCATGGCGACCCTCACCCTTCATTATACGTCCACCATCAGTGATACCACCTTTACCATGAGCATCACTTATAACCCACTTTACTTGTTTTGTCAAAGAACAATTTGGAGCAGGCGTTCCATTAATGGATACCTCGAACTTCAACATTCCACCCAGACGAGGGCAAAAGCTGATAGTGTGGGAGCCATCTTTATTATCAGTAACGACAACATCACTGACCTCTATTCCAGCGAACGACGGTTTGATATCCTGACATCCATACGCTAATCTTCGGTTATTTTTGTTGTGACAGATCAATGTTATGGAGTATGGTTTCCCGGCATTGAATATTTCTTCAATTTCTTTAAAGGAAGCCGTGCAACTTTCAGGGTTTGGTACAGCGACATCTACGTCATACTCATTCAACAGCTTTTTCTTTGTTTCCTGCACCGAAGAAGGAATGGTAAACTCCATGTCTTCAGTAACACAAGGCTGTGTTTGGTCTTTAACTGCTTTCAGCTGCTCCAAAGACTGCAAAATGTATTTCTCCATGCTCAATATTTGCACATCGTTGCCATTCTTGAACGCTTGCTCTGTAAACTTGATGCTCCTCTCACAACTTGCTAAAGCCACTTCTAAGACCTCTAACTGCGTGTGAATCTGATTTTGTTTGGAACTCGTGATTGAAGTAACTTTTTCCAACATTTCTCTTTTCCGAGTTTCCACGGCTTTGACAAGTTGATCGAAGTGCTGACTGATTTCTGAGATTGTTGACTTCTTCTTAGCCTCCAAACCTTCGTTAAATTTCTCCAGGTTTACAATTCCCTGTGCAACTCTTCGTTTTCTTTCCTTCACTTCGTCAAGATTGCTTTGTAAATGTAGTTTTTCTTCCATAGCGACTTCCTCGACAAACCCATATTTATGTCCCTGATGATCAACGATGGTGCAATCTCTACAAATGCAACTTTGACATGTTGTACAAAATAATTTGATGATTTCTTCTTTGTGCTTGGGACATCGTATCTGCTCAGCAATCTTCTGTGGACTTGAGTTGGATTTCAATTCCTCCATGGTGAACAGTTTGTGATGTTTCGTTGACCGAGATCGTTTATGCGAGTCGGTACAAAACTGACACAGAAACATTCCACATTCATTACATCGACTTTGAGCAGCATCCTCGCTGTCGCAGTTATCACAAAGAATCTTCTTCGCGACAGGCTGGTCATTCCTCAGTGCCATTGTTGCTAGGAGATTGTTGACGAAGAAATTTGATGGCAGATTGGAAATGTTTTCGTCAACCTGTTGTGCATGGGAACAATTTTAAAACAAGTAATTAAAAATATATAAAAGCAGGCTTTTTTGGAGTACAGCTATCAGTGGGCTAGCTAGGCCTATCTAAAGATTTGAAAACATCCAATTACTTTTTTGGGGAACAAGGACTAAAGCAGGAGTCTTCAAACCATGGGTCGCGACCCAAAATTGGGTCGCTAGCACACCCTCGAAGGTCGCAAGGCTTGTCTTGGGTCGCATGGGTCGCAATGCTTGTCTAGGGTCGCGAACTTACACTAGTAAACTTTACAAGACGAGAGATCAAGTGATAAGATGCACATATTTACATATGAACATTTCCTTGCGAAATTTGCGATTATAATGTTTTTTTCACGATTATTATGAAGCACTCAAGCGCTAGATTGCTAGAATAATATGGTAAACAGGTAAACTGGTAAAGCTTTAGATATAATACCTTTTACTTCATGTAACTCAAACATTATGGTTTAGCACCACTCGGCGCGCCTTCGGCGCACGTCGTCTTCCGAAGTAGAGTCGTCGTCATACACTCGGAAGCTTTCGGTGAAAAGCCATAATGTTTTTAATTATCGAAAGTTTTATTGGCAGTGTTCAGGGTCGCGGGACACCTATGAAGCTTGGGTTTGGGTCGCCGAAAAAAAGGGGTGAAGACCCCTGGACTAAAGGCTCAATATAAACCACATTATACTGTATATTTCTATATACCAAATGTCAAAGTTCATGTTTTCTTGCATCTCATTGGACGAGAGCGTGTCACGTCGAAGTCACGATTTTTTATACATTGTTAGCATCATGGATAATAAAATAAATGGATAGGAAACTAGCTGACGTGACCTAATGTTTTCAATGGGCTGATAGCGTGGTTGGATGTCCCAACCTAGTTGAAAACCAAATTCTCAAAAACGGCATGTTTAGCAATACTACAGCTAAACAGCTTAGTCAAAGAGCAAATAAATATAACCACGTCATTCTACGATGAAAACTCTAAGTATTCCCAGTCAATTTTAGCAAATATTTCAAGCACTAAACAGTGAAAAATACATCACAAATTTCGTTAAAATTTGTGACGCCAATTTCGTAGCTACAAATGTAAAAAAAAAATACAAAACAAAGACGAAAAACATTTACCTTGAATACTTTGTCGTGGCTTAGGCATGTTTTATGATTTTATGCAATAAAAATAATTAACTTCGAGAACGAATATGTGCGTGTTGTTTATGTATATATTAATTATATATTCATATAATTTAGTTATTATGCAGGTCTACCGAGATTATTTAAGCCGTGGAGCACACAGGTATAGCTCATTGCTTGCAGACCTTTAAGTTCACAACGTCTTCTCTCCTTTACAATGCCGAGATTAACAAATAATAGCTTAGCTGGCTTTAGTCTAAGTTCAACAAATTCGTTGGAATACTTCGTTGTTGATGGCTGTTTCGTTTCCGTCCACCGTTGGTCATTCTTCAGAGAGCAATGTCTTAATATGTCGACGTCTCCTTGGTTATTTTTCCCCAAGTTCCTCTACTGCTGTGATTTCAGTGGTCGAAGCTTCGTCGTCCTCGACAGTTTGCTTTCCCGCTCCCTTGGTCGTTCCTGCCTCGCAGTGTTCCCTCGCTGGCTCTTCGGTTCGTCGTCTACTCGTCTGCTGCGGTGCCTATAAGCAATAGCTTTTTGTCGCCGATTCCATTGTTCTATGCCACTGCTTTCCACTTCCATACCTGCCTCACCCCCCCCCCCCCCCCCCCCCCCCCCCCCG